GGTCTCCCCCACGCGCACTCCGGCCCTCAGTGGCAGTCTTCCGCCCGCTTCCATAAACTGCGGTCGGAACGGTGCGCAAGAGCAAGCGATGCAAGCCACGCGTGCCCTGCCTTTCCCTGCCCCGTCCCCTCCCCGCTGCAGGGGAGCCGAGTGTGAGGAAAGGAGGGAGGCGAGGGTGCCGGACCGTTCACGCTCCCCCACTCAGGACTCCGGTGGAGCCCCTGCCTTTCTCAGCCCACGGGGCCAGGCGAACACCACCTGTTTGTTGCAGGGTTCATCTCTGTGCCCGTGTTCCCTGCAGCCCTGACCTGCTGGAGTCCCCACGGTCACTGCCCGGTATCGCAGCTTGTCTCCAGTGCCCCGCAGCCTGGCCCCCACTCCCTGCAGCTGCCCCCCCAGGTACAGCCAAGCCCACCCCTTCCTCCCTGCCAACTCCTGCCCCACATCCCTACTTTTCAGAGACTCTCCCTCCTCACTGCCTGCAGGAGCCACAAGGACACTATCGACATCATTTTCCTGACTTCTTGGCATTCACAGGGCTGAACTCCAGGCAAACGTCCCCCTGGGGCTGGGGCAGCAAAACGCAGGAGGCCCCTCATATCGGGACGGGCCCCGCAAGACTGAATGTTGGACACTTTCCCACTCTGATCCTGATCCCCAGAGAGAGGGAGGAGCCGCAGAGGCCCTGGGTTCCAGTGGCATCTTTCAGCCACACAGTCTTAAGGTTCCCCCCCTCGTGGGAAAAGGAAAAGAAAGGATGCAACCATGGCCACTGTTCCCATCTCACAGGAGGGTGAGTGGACGCTTGTGGCTAAAAGGCGCAAGGCCCTGGAGGCAGGTGTGCTGGGAGGGGAGCCCAAGCTCGGGGCAGTGAAGGGCTGCTGGCGCTTCTGGGAAGCTCCAGGAGGCAGTGCCCACTGTGTGGCCCCAGAAGGTTGGAGCCAGAGACGGAACTGAGTTTCTTCCTGCGTGCCGCGTCACCTCGCTGTCACACCCCTCTCCAACACTCCGGTGGCCGCCAGTGCCAGTGTGGAAGCTGGGACCCAGCCAGGTGTTGCACAGGTGGCGCCACGTGGCTCCGCTTTGCCTTCCCACCCCACGGGGTGTGCTCCCCTCTAGCCGTACTCCCCAAAGGTGACGTGCGCCCCCATCTCTTAGACCTCTCCTGTGCGTCAGCCCCTGGAGCTCTGAGCTTCACGTGTACTGCTCCCTCTTCACCGTCCTCCGAGGTAGGCACCACTGTGACCCTCATTTGATGGGTGAGGACGACGACAGTGGTCCCCTCACGTGGCAGAACTGAGCCGAAGCCCTAACTGCCGGCACCCACGTCCTCGTGCTTGCCTTGGATGCTCACGGATGTTTGCTGACGTCGTGCCCTGCCGGGCTCGGCGTGAGCCCGCCCACCCCGGAGGGCAAAGGCTGGCAGGCTGGACGCCAGTGCTCCGCCTCGCTGCCCAATGCAGTAGCCATGGGCACATGTGGCTATTCACATTTAAATCAAAGTACAAATCCAGTTCCTCAGTTGCATTAGTCACATTTCAAGCGCTCCAGAGCCACACGGGGCTAGTGGCTGCCGTGCCGGGTGGTGCAGAGTGCAATACACCCTTCATCGCGAGAGGTTCTGTGGGCCAGTGCTGGTCCAGAGGCGCCCTCGCTGCACACAGCCGGCCAGGCCACCTGCTCCCGGGCCAGCCAGAGGCAGTGCCGGCCACCTTCTCCTGGGGCTGTCATCCAGACAGTGCTGCTGGCCAGGATCCTGGCAGACCTCACGGAATACACATCCTTCATCCCTGAGCCTCCAGACCGGAGCCCCTCTGTGGCTGGCACCGCAGGGGACCCATGCCGGGCAAGGCTCACAGACAGCCGGTGTGAGGGTGTGGGCCGGCACGGGAGGTGAAAGCTTCTAGAAGCACAGAACGTCAGAGGAGTGGGGCCTCAGGGAAATCGACCCGACTCTCATCTCAGAGGCCACATGAGACAGTCACCTTGCCAAGTTATGACACAGCCTGGACAGCACAGGCAGCCTGGGGCTCTTCCCCGGGAAGCCAGCGCCGCTGGGGCGCAGTGGCTGGGGCTGCTTTGGGCCGTGAGCTCGCGCCTGGGGAAGTAGGGGCGTGGAGAACACACAGCAGCAGCTCTGTGAAAGCCACTGGAGGTAGCAGGAGCTTAGCCTTTGAATTCCCTGGGTCCCTGGGGGCCATTTCAAGTGGCAGTCACCTGTGAGACCGTGGCTGCTACCAGCAATTACAGAGCCATATTTAGCCGCAGGGCAGGCAGAGCTGAGGCTCCGCTGGTCTCCACCCTTCCTCCAGCGTGGACCCAGCACGACTGACCACGGTCTCGCTGTCAGGCAGCTCTGCAAAGGTGGTTTGAATTACTCTGGTGAAGCTTCGAAGCTGGACCTTCTGGGAAAGAGGGTGGGAGTGTGTGGGCCAGCACTCTTGGGCAGCACAGGAAAGAGGGTAGGGCCTTGGGGAGGGGACAAATCTAAGGTTGTCACCTGCCCAGGTTCCCTGGGCGAACCAAGTACATCTCAGGATAGAAAGTACAGGTAGGAATTTTGCTGAGAACTGTTTCTCAGCACAGCAGCCTGGCAGCCCGGAGGGAACACGGGGCTATGAAAAGAGTGCAGGATTTAAATCAGATCAGGGTTTGTTCCTTTGGCAATTGTTAGCTATGTGGCTTTACATGTACCCTCCCTTCTCTGTGCCTCAGTTTTCTTATCTGCAGTGGGAGTCTACTTACTGTAGACGTGGGATGATTACACACGATGATGCAGTGGAAACGGCTCTAGGAGTCGCACACTTTTATGCAGGTGATGGGTGTGAGAGAAAATGTGATCTTGCCCACCGTAACGCTCTAGCACAGGGGACAGGAGCAGCTGGTCAGGAACCAGGAAGGACTTTAGAATAGCAGAATGTCATACCCTAGGAGACTTTGAAGTCGCCTCATTCACTCTCCTTCCCTCTCTATTTTCAGAAGAGACTGAGGTTCTGAGTGATGACCTGCCCGGTCTGCCACCTAGTGACAGTGCTGAGCCTCAGCGTGTACTTCTGGCCATTGGGCTGGGTGTCACTGCCGCCCTGTTCCTGACCCCTTTGAGGCTGTCGCGACTTGGTGGTGGTCACTACCCCGTCACTGCCCTGCACCTCGATAACAGAACCAAGTGAGAGCTCAGAAAACGACCTGCACGGACTGTCACCCAACAGTGTCCTCCAAAGTAAAAGGCCAAGGAACAAAGCAGCCAATATGACATTACAAAAAAAGACAAAGCAATAAAACCTTAGAAATTGCAGACTAGGTACTGAGAAATTTTAAAAAGGTTTACATTTTGCCTTGTTTACAATTCCCCTGGGAGGGGAATTTCTCCCAGGAATGTAAGCTTTGCCTGTCTACTCTCTAAGTAGCTTGAGGGTTTATAAACAGGACTTAATGTATTTGTCACTTGAAATTTGGCCCTTAAGATGTTGTTAAACTTGGAAGTAGATGTTTAGTCCAGGGGTGGCGTCAGCAGTTGCTGTGTTTGTCTCTGGATTCTCCAAAGCCCCAGGGTTGGTCAAAGTTTCCATCAACTTCTGGCTCCATTAATTTCCATTTTCTCTAATGAATGGATTTTCTTGGAGCACCCACCTTAGGTGCCCAAGGAGTCTCTGAGGTCACCTCCTGCACTCTACCTTTTGCCGGGGAGAGGAGGGGCATGGGAGGCATGTTCTCTGCAGCTGAGAATGTGCTCTGGCATCTCAGGAGTCTGAGTCTGAGCTCAGGCGGCTGGGCTTTCCAGAGCGTCCCCAGGGTCATGTTCTCCACACAGGCTGCGTCTGTCCTAGCAATTCACGCAGCTCCCTGACATTCCTCGGGGGCGGGATTTTTCCAGGCCCCCACTAGGGAGTCCAGCTCAGGGTTTAAACACACAGGCCCAGCAACAGAGTGACCGCTCCTGTACACATACCAGGCCACACTTCAGGTGTGGGAGGCCTCGGCACCCTTATCTGTAGCATGGGGATGATCACGGTGCCTTCGAGATTTTACGAGCGTAGTTTCGTGTCTGGCAGGTAGGATATGCTCACTAAATATTACCTGTTATAATTGGGAGTGTCAGAACTTCTGCTAGGCAGGCAAAGACAGGAGGTCCACAACTCTAGCTGGTCAATTTTTTACTGATGGACTTGTTTGGGCAGCCAGTTGAGGCTGATGGCAGGAAATAGGTTTTTTGGTTTATCAGAACAAATAATCTGCTCCAGTAATGATAGCCCCACATTTATTATGAGCAAGCAGACACCAAGGGTGGATTCTATGAGAATCTTAAATAGCAGTGCCAGGCCCTGCTGTGAGACTTCCTAGAACCCTCGGGCGCTTTCATGCTAATGCTGTAGGGCCCTGCAAGTGCAAATCCTCAGCAAGCACTACATGCAGACACAAATTAGAACTTAGCTCCAGAGAGCAAGGTTTCAGACCCTAGCAATTCAGCTACTCTGCTTAATTTTACTAAAAATGAACGTCACACTTGCCTTTACAACAATGACCGCTGCTTCCTGCTGTTGTGATACCATGGTGAGCTTGCCTTGCAAACACTGAGAATGCTCCAGTACTTTAACTTCCTCTCAGCAGCTAGCATTGGGTTTCCTCTTCCTTCACACTGAGTCACCATCCCTGCTCCCTGCACCTCAGCCCAGAGCCCGTTTTATGAGCCACTGGTAATACTGGCCCCAGGAGGCACAGAGACCAAGGCTTGACACCCAGAAGCCCCTGTTCCTCCCAGTGGCAGCACCTTTGTAACCTCAGCAACCAGCCCAGTGCAGGGGACAAGGGAGACCTCAGTTACGTGCTTTAGAGTGGGGCTGGGGTAGAACCACTGCCCACTAAGAGACAAGAAATCCAGGGAGCTTTTGGAAATGGAAACCTCCAAGCTGTTGGGAGGGGAAAGAAGCCACAGACCATTCCTCACCCCCAGCCGCGGCCTTGCAGGCACGCCCCGGCTGGGCCTGGACCCCAGCACTTACCCAGGGCTCCTTGGCAGATGTCCGTGCGGGTGGCTCCTCCAACAATAAACTGAGGGTCAGCGCAGAGCTCCTGGAACGAGACCCATAAAGTGCCGTCAGCCCACCAAGCAAGGCTGGTGCAGTCAGGTGCCTCGGATCTCAGCGGGAGCCTCGAACCCCTTCGCCCAGCCCCTGCCCTCTGAGAAAGGTTTTGTAGCCACAGTCATAGCTCTGCGTCACGAGGGCCTTCGGCCGCGGCCCCGTCAGCCCCTGGGTGGGTGGGGTCCGGCCGAGGCCGAGAAGGGCAGCCAGTGGAGCCCACTCTAAACAGCCCAGAGCCTGCCTCGCGGTGCTGCCTCCCAGGGCCACAGCATCGAGTCCAGCCTCTTCTGCCAGGTATGGAGACCAACTTGCTCCAGAGCTGCCCCGCCCACCACGCTAGCACCCTCCCCTCCCTGCCTCCATGCAAGTTGATCTGCTTGCCTGGAATTCCTTCCCTTCCCACGCTGCTTCCTCTTTTTCTACATTGTACCATACTGCAAGGTTCATTGCCACCTCCTCCATGAAGCCCTCCTTCATAGTCCAAACCTCACTCATCCCTTCAAGTCTGAGTCCTAGAGTTTTTGTACACTGCAATTTAGTATTTAATTGTGCACTGGCTGGTGGTGCTCATGAGTATTACTCCCTCTTCCTAACACATACCCTTTGGGGGCAGGGGAGTGGACCTAGCCCTTCTGGATTCTTCCACAGGGCCATGGCACTTGGAGCACCCATATATTCTGTACCCGCTGTCCATGAGATACATGTACATGTGCTTGGAGCTTCATCTCACACGGCCCTCTCAGGAACACAGGATGGGTGTTAACCCTCTTTGACAGGTGGGGAAACAGCTCAAGCAGGGAGCGTGATGAGCCCAGTTGCACAGCTTGCAAGCACTGGCATTTGCACTGGCATTTGCACATACTAGTCTGACGGGCCAACTCTCTCCATGCCTGCCCTGCCTCTGTCGGTCAGTAACAGGCCTCTATGAAAGGGTGTCACAACCCCATGCGGCGACTGTCATAAGCAGCCTGATGGAACTTGAACAGTTGTGGCGCCTGCAGCAGCCCTCTGACTGTTTCCTGATTCTGAAGAGCTCCACCCAAAGCCACCGAGGAAGTCGGGGCACAAATCTGGGGCTCCCTTGGCTTGGGCCACCTTGATTTGCAGGAGCAGTTCCGCGTCTCACATCTGCTAGAGTGTTGCACGTGCTTGCCCCACCATGGCCCCTGGCGTGTCCCCTCTGCCAAGCAGACGTTTTCCTGGGTTGAGACTGAGATCCCTGCCTGTCCTGGCTTGGAATGTGGAGGCTCCTTTGTAATCGCAGTCTGCTGCACAGCTGTCCCCTTCTGTCTGTGCACTGCCTCTCTCTGCTCAGGTCGGTCTGCTGGGGAAGGCAGAGACAACGCGAATGTTCTGCTGAGATGAAGGAAGTCGGCTGGACTCAACGCCTGCCAGCCAGCACTTACCCGGCTGAGGGAAGAGCTCGGGCCTGGTGCTGGGAGCCTCTTTATTGAGGACGATCCTGAGTGTGCCAGGATTTTTTCATTACGTTCCAGAACCTTTCTCATGCCTTTGGCAGCCTCTTCAGAGAAGTCAAAGTTCAGAGTGGTACTTAGAGACGCTTCAGAAAACTGGACTTTGTGCACAGCATGTCATGCATCAAATTAAATATGGGATGTTCCAGTCAGAGAAAAGGGCTGAGGGCTTGGGCTGGATTCCAGTAACCTGGCTGGAGTCCTGGCTCTGCCACTTGCGATATAGGTGCCGGGGCTCCGGCACGGTACTCAACCTCTTGAAGCCTCAGCTTCCTCACCTGTAAGCGGAGGCTGGCGATGCACCTGCCACAGAGGGTGTTCTGAGGGCTGCGCAGGATAACTATGTGACCCTCCCTTGGCAAGCCGACCTGTTGTTATTACCACTGAAAAGCTGATGACAATCGCTAAGGCCAGGACATCTGGGTCTGAGGCTGAGTTCAGCCTGCTGGAAAGAAGTGAGTGATAAACCTCTCAGAGGTTCGTCTTCTCAGGGGAAAATGGGGACAACGCCTGCCCTTACTCCTACCTGCCTGGCTGCCATGCTCGGATCATGCCGCAGCCTCTTTGCTGTGCCTCTCTGCACAGCCTGGGACCGCACTGTGACCTCAGCCTCAGCCACTTCCCGCTCTACTCCCTTCCTGTCCTGTCCTCCCCTGCCCCCATTCCCTGGCCCACACCCTCAGGGACCCTGTTTCACTGTCCCTGCCTTTGCCTTTAACCCCCTCCTCTCTGGTGACTCAACACAGAATACACTCAAGCTGCTCTTATCTGAAGAAACAGCCTCTGGAACCCCAGGTCCTGCCTGACCCACCCGTGTCTCAGTCTCTGTCTCTGTCTCTGTCTGTCTCTCTCTCTCCACAGGCACCGTTTTAAATGAGTTGATCACATTCTTCATTTCCAGTGCCCTTACTTTAGAGTCTGCAGCAATCTGGCTTCTATTCTCGCCTGTCCATTGAAATTGCTCAGCTAAAGTCACCAGTGACTTGCTAACGTCCAAATCCAGCGGAAACGTTTTTCTTTCCCTTGGGTCACCCCGGTAGTGTTTGAGAAGGTAGGACGGAGGCAGAGGACAGCCACAAGGGACGGGCTCTAAACATACACAGGCTGGACACAGTCCTGGCTCCAACCCATACATCTGTTTGCCGCTGGCAAGTATTTAACCTTCCCAAGCCTCAATTTCTCAACTGATGAATGGAGATAATAAAAGCCACACTCCCTCTCGGTTGTGCAGTGCCCAGTCTGCCTGCCCTAAGCAGTGGCCCTGAAATGGCTCTAGATCTCTATTTCTTCATCTGAAAGTCCTATAGTCATGTCCGCCTGTTGAGGTACCTGTTTGTCTCCCTTCACTAATCTCTAAAGTCTTCGGAAGCAGAAACTATATGCACTGTGCCTGGCATATAGTAGGCATCCAATGAATGAATGAAAGCATAAGGGATAAGCATGTGGTTCACTGCACAAACTGCGAGTGCTATACACATGCAAGGTGAACACATTCTCTTGTTTGTGTATCACTTTCACAACCATAATTTTATTCGAGGCTCATTATAATCCTGCATTCATTCATTCTGTAAATAGTCACTGTCCTTTGTGTTCCTTGATGTATCTCCCAGGCACTCAGGATAGTGCCTGGTGTGTAACAGGCACTCAATAAATACTGTTCAATGAATATTGTGAAGGGGCATTAACCATGCTAGGCACTGGGGACATATTGGTGAATAATATACACACAGTTCCTGCAGTTCAGTAGGAGGACAAATTCATGTCATTGTATTTATAAACCATGACTCTGTTATGAAGGAAATCAGCAGGGTGCAGTGTTAGAGAGTAATGAGTGGGGAGGTGACTGTTAAGAATGTCAGGAAAGACCTCTTTGGGGAGGGACCTATGACTAAGTCCCAAGGAATGAGCGTGAACCAGACTGCACTGACCCGGGTAAGAGCTGCCTGGCAGGCGAGATGGCGGAGGCAGGAGAGAACTGGTCTTTTGAGAGACTGAAAGGAGGCCGAGGGCTAGGCCTGGTGAGCCGGAGAAGAGGGAAAGTATCTCAGCATTACCTTTCCTTCTAAATGAGGAAATGGAGGCACAGAGGTTAGATGGCTCACACCAGGCCACCCAACAGGGTAGCAAGCAAGAGAACCAACTGCTGAGTCTCTGTCTAGGGCGCTCCTGTAGATCTCGCTGGACTTAGGGCAATCGAGGGTGGCCTGGGAGGGTCAGGTGTGGAAGGAGGGCAGGAAGCTTGTTCTCATAGTGGGACTCTAGAGTCTCCCTAGGCAGGAGGGGAGCCCTGGGAGGTGTCCACGAAGGTGGAGCCAGCAGGGACCCCATGGCAAACAGAACGGAGGAGCAGATTAGGGGCAGAAATTGTCTCAAGGCCTGGGAGGGCCAGAGGACAGAGACGCTGAGGGCCAGACAAGGACCCTTGGAGGGACCCCTGAGGTTTCCCCTGAGCATCCTGGCCAGCCGCAGGTGACAGACACTGGCTCCTTGGAGTGCCCATGCCCTTCGCCAATCACCAGTGTGACCGCTATGGGGAGGTTTCCCTTGCTCCCCTTTGGAAAAATGAACAAGAAACTCTGATTGGATGAATCTAACCACAAGGACTGTATGAGACGACTCTTAGTCACGAAATGACCAGGCTGCGGCCTGCCCCCACTGAAGCAGACAGACCCGAGTCACAGACGACTTCCCGGTGTCGGACCCTGCCAGTGCCCCTTTCCCGCAGACCCCTTCCCTCCCACCGTCTCCGAGCTGGAACCAAGTGAGAGTCTCCCTGCAGTCCGAAGGCGGCCCCTGCCCGTGGGTGTGTGGGCAGTGACCCGCCCCGGCCTGTCCTGGGAAGCGTGGCGCGTGGAGGGGGGACAGGCCCGACCGGGGGACCGCAGGCCACCCAGGGGCCTCCTCCAGGCGTGCACGGAGTCGGGGCTCCGGCGGAGGCTCTGCGCCAGCCCGCCCGCGCTGCCCCGCACCCTCCCGCCCGGCGCCCGCCCGCGCTGCCTACCGTGGGTCGCTTCCACTCGATGCCCCGAGTTTTGCTGGAGTGAGGTCCCAGCTCCTTGAAGCCCAGGGACGACGGGAGGGCGGGGAAGGCGGGGTCCTGAAAGAGCGCCCCGGCCTCCAGGCACTCGTCCCGCAGCGTCCCGTAGTCCTGGTTGAGGTACTTGACGGCCCACTCGTGCGAGCCCAGCCCCTCGGCCGCCTCCCGGTCCCGCGCCAGCCTGGCCGCGACGCCCGCCATGGTGCGGCGCCCGCGCTGCGCACCGCGAGGCCGGGCTGCGCTCTGCCGGGCACGCCCCACGGACTGCGGGGCCCGCGCTGCGCACCGCGAGGCCGGGATGCGCTCTGCCGGGCGCGCCCCACGGACTGCGGGCGCCGCCGGGGCGCTGACTCACCGGAGGGAAGAGCCCGGCCCGCGGGGTGTGGCCTCGGCCGCTCCCGGCCTGCTGGGCGCCCGGCCCGGCCGAGGCCTGCGCAGCGCCCGGGGCCGCGGCAGCCGGGCCGGTGCTGCCCTCTGCGGACTGCGGCGGGGACTGCGCGGCCGCGCGGAGTCGGGCGCTGACCCACAGCCGAGGCCAACTTCCCACCTCCTGGGGAGGAGGCTGGGATAGTTGTGCCTCTGGAGAAAACACCGTGAGTCGGTGGGATCAGGGAGTAAAGTCCAGGAGGCTACACTAGCTACCACCCGCAGGGCGCAACTTGTTTGGAGCACCGTCCTAAGGGCTGCGCGGCCGGCATCCCGCCCAGTGCTCCCGGGAGCTCTGTGAAGGGGCCGGTGTTGTCTCCGGGGGTCTTACGCGGGAGAAAACTAGCCTCACAGGCTCCATGCGATTACCAGTGTGGCGCAACGAGTCACAGGACAAGAATGCTAAGCCACCAAGGGCTGTGGGGATCACAGTGCTGCAGTTGCTGGTCAGCTGTTCGGTCACAGATAAGGTTAGATTTGGCAAATAAAAAAGCAGTGTTCCCAGTTAAATTAGAATTTCAGCTAAACCACGGATACTTTTTCAGTATATGTATACCTCAAATATTGCATGGGCATACTTAAACCAAAAAACAAATACAATCCATTGTTTATCTGAAACTCAAATTTAACTGGGACAATTAATTGAGTTAATATTGAGAGAGCTGTTAGAATAGTGCCTGTGTTTCTCTCAGCTCACAGGAGACCTGGGTGCGTGCCGAGCAGCACAGATGGAAAGAGACTGCCTCCTCTCCCTCCCTGCACTCAAGGGGAAGAATTTGAGTTTCAGTGGAAAACTATGTATTGTTCAAAGCAATATTCTTAACTGGAGGCAATTTGTCCCCATCCCAACCCAGGGGGCCTTTGGCAATGTCTGGAGACCTTTTTTATTGTCACAGCTGGGAGATGTGGTGCTACTGGCCGTCATTGGCTAGAAGCCAGGGATGCTGTTAACATCTTACAATGTCCAGCACAGCTCCTCACCAAAAAAAAAAAAAAAAAAAAAAAAAACCAAAAATGTCAATAATACTGAGAAACCCTGGTTTAGCGCACCTCCTTCTAGGTTATCTGGTTCTAGCCTTTCATTGTTTTTGAGTTATTTTGTAACTCTAAGTTGTTGATAAAATGCAATGCAAAATAATTTTTCGATAGCTATGTAAATGAATTCTGTCCAGTGGATGTACTACTTTCACCTCTGAGGAGCAGCCAGTTGTCTGTCTGCTTGCATATTTGATTCCAATATTCTCAACTCAATCAGGTGTGGCGGCTCACGCCAGCACTTTGGGAAGCTGAGGTTTGAACTGTTTGTCAATGGAAAAAAAGCCAAACTCTGCAAAATAATTTTAAAGAGATTTATTCTGAGCCAAATTTGAGGACCATGACCCAGAGCCACTGCCAAGAGGCCTTGGGCAAGTGGATTCATTGTGGCTGGGTTACAGTTTGGTTTTTATACATTTTAGAGACAAGGGTTCCTTCAGTCAGTATGTGGGAGGCACACATTGGTTTGGCCCAAAAAGGAGGGCCATCTTGAAGGGGGAGAGCTTACAAGTTATAGGTGGGTTTAAAGATTCTTTAGATTGTAATTGGCTAAAGACGTGAAGCTTTGTCTAAAGGCTTGGAATGTTTTAACATAAACTGTTTACCTGAGATAAGCCACCATTTGTTGCATAAATTAAGGACCTGCAGGTTTGTCTTGCATACCCTTAGGCCTGTTAATGGGTTACAAAGGAAGTCTCCAAGAAGGGAGGGGGGCATGATAAGGCATGTCTGACCTCCCTCCCCCTGGCAGGCAACTTTGCCCTAGAATATTCCTTTGGTGGGGGGGATGGTGAGCATTTTAGTTTACATGTTTATAACATCTGCCAGGTTGCCTTATATAATCCATGAGTTAAATGAAATCTTTAAAATGTGTTCATTTTATATCAATATGAGAATCATAATCTTACCTTTTTTTAAAAAAAATTACCTTTACCAATATTCTCCCCCATCTATTCTTGCCCCTAACCGCATGTCCAGGGTTGCCTGTTACCCCTGCTTTGCTTGACCAAACTGTAGTCAGGTTTCTCTCTTTCCCACAGGGCCCTAACCTGAGCAGGCACAGGGAGGTGGAGTGTCCCCTGCCCCCACCAGCCTCTCCATGGAGTTGCCTGGACACAGGACACCCTTTCTTGTCAGACCTCACTGGTCGTTTCCCCTTCCTCACCCAGCATCCCTTCCAAAGAGTCTGCTTATCTCTGCTCACCCCTCCTTTACCCTAGGGAAAAAACAAACCCCTTTTCTGTTTGATTTTGAGATGGTTGCAGACTCTCCCTATTGAAATAGTCTTTCTTTCTAATGAAATTCTCTCCCTATCAAAATGCAGATTTATTCCAGTTTGAGAGCCTCCACCTCCATTTGTAAGTCTGGGCACGATGTCTGCCGCACAGGTACACTGCCCACCGCCAGGCTCTGCTTTCTGTGCCTGTGAATGAGATGGGCACCCAGCTTCCACCGTGAAACAGGTAGCACTGTGGACTCTGGATCCAGAGATGGGGACACAGGCATTTGTTTCTAGCTCATGGGTTTCTGGTGCAAGAGTTTTATGACACCATCGCAACTGAGAACAGAGGACACAGACAACCCTTCCCTGGAAGCCATTAATTTGTTTCACTGTCCAATTTCCACCGGCCCCGCCCTGCTTGCTTCTGGGATCTGGGCTCCTGGGAGAAAGCGTGTCCACTTGCCTGAGTGGCAGAGCTCGTCCTTCTCCTCCCGTTAGTCTCAGGACAGCCCATCTCTGGAGAAGCGCCTCTTCCCGGGCAGGTGGAGGTGGTTTCTCTCCCAAGTTCTTTTAGCAACAAACAGGCGGACTGGATCTACTGTTCCAGTCTGATCAGAAGCTTCATGCAGCCCTGAGGCAGAGAACCTCTGGCTCCCTCTGAACTTCCTCTTCCCTAGCCGGGCAACACCCTCTTGGTGCAGCCCTGGCAGCTGACCTTGCCAGACTTCTAGGACACACTGTGCGCATAGAACTCTGTTCACCCAAGGCCTCGGGCTGTCCGAAGCCACCAAAATTTATTTGCAAACACACAGAATGATTAATTACTGCCCCCACCATTTGGACAAAGTCCAGTTTTCAGACCTGAGCAGACACTGCTCTTTGCGTTACACTGCCCAGAGCCTCGCACTCTGCTATCTTGGCAGACCCAGCAAAGTCTCATCTCTCTCTGGCCATACAGGCCCTTTCGCAGGAACACAGGGGCCTCAGAAGGCGCACGCCGCACCACACCACTGTGGAAAGCAGGGAGCCTTCCTGGTGAGTGAGGGTGAGCCACCCAGCCCCAAGGGCAGTGCGTCAGAAACTTCGGGGTTTATCCCAAACTGCCTGGGCTGGGCCAGCATTGTAAGCAAATGATAGTGGGCAAGGGGGAGAATGAGTAAGAGAGTCAGAATGTGCGCCTGTCTCAGAGGGCCAGGCAAGGGCACTTTTAGTAGCATTTTTCTTTAGATTATTTTCTCCAGGGAAAAATAAAAGATGTAGCTATACCAAGTCCATGGCCCCGGATGCCTGAGCTGCATTAGAGCCACAATCTAGCCAGGCGCGGTGGCTCATACCTATACTCCTAGCACTCTGGGAGGCCGAGGTGGGAGGATCCCTCGAGGTCATGAGTTCAAGACCAGCCTGAGCAAGAGCAAGACCTCATCTCTACTAAAAATAGAAAAATTAGCCGGGCGTGGTGGCGCATGCCTGTAGTCCCAGCTTCTCGGGAGGCTGAGGCAGGAGGGTCACTTGAGCCCAGGAGTTTGAGGTTGCTGTGAACGAAGCTGACACCATGGCACTCTAGCCATGGCAACAGAGTGAGACTGTCTCAAAAAAACAAAAATGTGGGGCACACCCTGCAGGTTCTGGATGCATTAATCAAAGCTCCCTTTTTAATTTTGCACCTCCATGGCCAGGCCCTGAGCTTCACACACATTTGCATGCTTCATCTTCACAGCTGGTCAAAAGAGGTCTTATCCTCTCCTTTCACGGATGAGGAGAGGGAGGCCCAGCCCAGCAGCAGCAGCTGGTGTGCTGCAGAGACAGCCTGGCTCCAAATCCCTGGGCCGCGGTCCTCTTGGCTCTCTCCCCAGCTTGGTGGGGCAGAGGGAACAGCAGACCCGGGCTGCGGAAAGGGCTGTGCCTTCTTCCCCCCGTTTCAGGTCTGTGGTCTGAATCCAAAGGAGGTCAGAGAGAACATGAATTCCACAGTGTTGTGAAAACCAGTTTGTCTGAAAGGAGGTTTCTTTCTCTTTTGGAGTGGTCACAGGGTTTATTCTTTCCTTCTGACTAAATATGCATGGTTATTGGACAGGCTGTTAGCGCTCAGCAGGGAGGGGCTTCCAGAGGGATTCCAGAGGCTGAAGAAGGTGGGAGGTGGTGAGAATAGGAGAGAGGAAAACTCCAGAAAGAAAGGTTCCAATGGGCAGTTTCCTGGCACTTTGTTTCTTTTCCAGTCTCTGGGAGCTTAGAGTGTTACATCTTTGACAAGAGGCCTGCCCCTCCCCCAGCAAATGCTATCTCTGGGAGGGTTTGTCATAGCAGCGGTCCCCTAATAATAACTTTACTAATATAAATTATATCTTGAATTTGCAGGGAGTTCCTTGCAATTCTCAAAATGCTGACCATTAGTTCTCTCATCTCTTAAAATGGGGAAATAATATCTACTTTGCAAGTTCACAGAGCCGTTTTAAGTGTCAAATCACAATGTATGTGGCATTGTTTGGGAGAACTGTACAATCTTAGGTGCTGTCATTATTATCATCAACCACTGAATACTTCACACGTGGAAGCAAATCCTCTATTGTCAGCTTCCTGATAGAGGAAACTGGTATAAGAAGAT